TTCCAACAAAGAGTGAATTGATTATTTGTATATATATAAAAAGCTATCAATCAAGACCATGAAAAACGACGTAATAATATAATTAAGTAAAATTAGGAAGGAGTAGTAAGCCATCATTTACGCTGTGTTCTCTTGTCATAGAAGTAGAGCCACACTAGTACCTGTTCATGCAAAAGTTACAGGGGAGATGGGACTAGAGTGAAAACGGTGGATGTAGGGATTGCGTTGGGAACCCTTATGTAATGAAGGTAATTTTTACTAATAGAATTATACTTCATTTTCCAACACTCCTCGCTTTTGATTCCGGGAAACTGGACGACCTCCGACTTGTTGGTATCAAAGAAGACTGCGTTGGTACTTGCCCACTCCAGTAGATGGCCCACTTTCTTCTGTACAGAAGCGGCTGACTCGGCTATACTGCGCCCATATCCTAGTATCCCGATGTTGTCAGCGTAGCTGTGTAACGGCTAAGAAGCCGGTATTTTCCTGTAGCCAGTAATGGCAAGTACTGGCGTATAACCACCAGAGGGTGGGCCGGCGCAATAGCCTGCAGAACATACCAGAACCACTGTCGAAGGTACTAGATAAGATTCGACATGAACAAGACTGTAACTGAGACTTGGAGAAGCTACTAGAAACCATATTCTCAGAGTTGCAACTGGAATTATCTAGAAATGAACTGACCTTAGATGGAAGGGCTTGGAGTGTAGTAATCTGTATAAATACCTGGCTAAGTATCTGTAGCTTAGTTCTACATAGTTGAATTGTTAATATACTGTACCTACAAGATCGCCCAAGCATGTTGTACTGAAACCGTGACAAGCTGAACCTCATCTCTGCATTGCTGCTTTGTATAGGCTCTGCCATGTACAAGAGGAAGAGAAGTGGCGATATTGGCGACCCCTGCGGGACCCCACACACCAGCTCTTTCTGTCCAGTTACCCCTCCAGGAGATCGGACTTGCACCTTTCGTTGTGCAAGAAATGATGTCGTCCATTGGAGAATTGAGTCCTGCCACTCCTGCTCTTGTATCCTTCTCACCAAACAATTGTTGAGTACTGCATCGAAATATCACGGACCTAGGGCCTATTCTGAGTCAATAGGAACTCTATTCGAAGATATCTGTGGAATTCTGCTATATTCTATCCTATCTTAGTCTATTACATTCCATTCAAATCTGTTCTGTTCTGATCTATACTTGTCTAGACTATTCTATTCTGCATGAGAGTATACTGGAAAGTTCGAGAACAATAGAGAGGAATATATAATGGGTATTTGGGATGATTATGGTTCGGCAGATTATGGTCTTGTATTCTTAGAAACTCTTTAGACATTATTGAATCTTATGTTAAACTCTTGAAACTGTCGCACTATTGGACCTTCGGAATGCGAACTCCTCTTGTATTCTTGACAGATTGGTCTCAAACCTTTGGTTGAAGTTGGATCCCGATTTGGCTTTTCCAATAGTACCACTTCTGCAAGTTTAAAGCAAGATGGATGGGTGCCGATCCGTATGCAAGCTCTAAAGAGCTGCGAAATACACGGTCCGATCGTCTTCCAGCAAGTGTGGAGGAGCTCAACCGTAACTTCGTCTGCCCCTGGTGCTGTCTCCCCACAGCCACTTGTGCAAGTTTGCACTTCCTCATCCGAGATTTCACCTTCCCGAGGTTTTCGATTATCGCTTGAAGTATTGAATGGCGGAAGGTCGTCCGATTGTTGGTGACGTGCAAGAAGGGCGCCTCGGAGAATGGAAGCTCGCTCTAACGGGTCTGTAATGAACTTTCCGTTGTGATTGAGTGGCGGAGGGGCTTTGGCCTGTCTATGGTTTACCGAACGCATCAGCTTGAAGATATTGGACGGTGATGTCATTGCTTCGACTTGACATGTCAGATATTCCATCTAAGCGGCTGTGATAGTTGCACGTAGCTTCTTTGCATAGATAGCCTGTTGTGAGAGTGATGTTGCGGCTCGGTATTCGACGTGTGTGGATTTGCACCTAGGAATCCACTACGGCGCAGATTTGGCGCTTCCTTTTCTGGCCCGGGTTCCTGTCGCTTTGATGGCTTCCGAGAGATGGAAGCAGATCTCTTGGGCGTACTCATCCACTTTCTCTTTTGTACTCAAGTCTACTGGCGGATGTACCCATTTTGCAACGGCACGCGCAAAATTAGGCAGATTTTTTTGGGCACTCTGATCTTTGATGGACCCGGGTTCCCAGTGTAGGTTGTGGAAGGTATGATTCCACGGATCGGAAGATGGTTGCTGGTCATACATTCTTCCCTATTGACCCAAGCACAGGCTACAGATATGATAGTCCAAGCGAGATCCAGAGTATTGCCAGCTTTATGAGTCGGCTCTCCAATTATAAGGCAAGAAAGGTTGTGGTTTTCTGCCCATCTCTTTATCTCATAACCCTGTCCATAAGGTCGAGTTGCTCCCGGTTGCCCGGCAGCATGCACTGAGTTGAAGTCCCCGGCTGCAATGGACTTTGCAGAAGGTTTCCAGCCGACAAGCGTGCGGACAGCAGTCAGGTTGTTGGGGGCCTCATACATATTAAAAAATGTGATCACATTAACCAGTACCCAGCAGTAGTCCCCTGTCAGCCTATGATAAGAGAAAATCTACTTTGCCAATATCACCTTTTTGTTCTTTCGGGTGTATGTCACAGCCCTCGGTCTGACATCTACACCTCCGTGCGGTGTATGACAGATATAACCTGGGTGTGATATGGTTTCTTTTGATCTTAAGTTCCATCGCGGTTCTTGAATTAGCACAACATCTACGCCTAGCTCGTAAGCTCTAGAGAGTGCAATGTTGTGGGTTGAGCCACCCCTGCCTACGTTTATTGACATAAAACTTAGTGTGGGAGGAGGGCGAGAAGGGGCCCGTAGGGCGCCCTTCACAAAGCTTCTTCAGGATTCAAGGCCTCAAAGCCCGAACCCTCAGTCATTGCTGTATCTATTGACGATATGTCCTTAACAGCACCTGGAGAAGTCGGTCGTGTCGATCTAGCAGCAGCTGTAGCAGCCTTGGCTCGAGCGACGGCCTGGTACTCGCGTTGGCCAGCTTGTCTAATCGTTACAAGTTGCTCCCTGGTAGCTGGGCCAGACCTGTTGGGACGAGCTAGACAGTCTCGACTGCCAGATTGATGTGGGCCTCCGCAGTTTCGACATTTAGAGGCCGCTTTACACTCGAATGCCGAGTGCATGGTGAATCCGCAGTTCCAGCAGGCTGGCGCGCGAGAACACCCACGGGTGGCGTGGAAATCGAGACAACGCCTACATTGCTGTATGGCAGGGCAGTTTCGTTCGATTTTCGCTACTCCTTAGTCGTCAAAGAGTCGGAAGCCAGGCTTTGGGCTAGCATTCCTGGGGAATAAGGGCGCCCAGGATCTGTAAGGAGTGCCGAGCTTGGTTTTTCAGTGAACCCTTACTCGGTCTGGAGTGCAGTTAGTGACTCTTAGGATTTCGGCAGCTACCATTTCGGCAGTGACTTCGATTCGTCCTTCTAGGCCGAATACGGCGACTGGAACTGTAGCAATCCGGAGGGAAACTAGATCACTTGGTGGTTCTAATTTTGCCTCAACTTGTGTGAAGGTGCTGGAGGCCTCCAGCAGTCGAGTTTTTGCATCCGAGCTTTTGGCACGGATGGCAAAGCCAGTAGGAACGCGTTGCGCCTGATCGACATCGGAAGGGGTGCATTTTGTTTGTTTAGCCACGGTTTCGTGAACACCAGCCGGAGAGAGCTGTCTCCACTCGTGGTTTGCATCGAGACGCAGGAAAATTCAGTCATCTTGCGGTGCAGTTGCTGCTGCTGCCGGCTTCATCTCTGGTTTCGTGGCAGATGAGGCAGCCGCACCCGAGGTGATGTTTGCAGAGGCCTGTGCGCAAGACTTTTGTTGTCCGGCTCGGGAGACAGGGGCCCAGGTGCTTCTGGGTGGGATAAGTGCAGTAGCCTTTGTAATATTCCGTAGAATGGCTACTGGGATGACGGTCGCAGGGGGGAGTCGCGACATTTGGTCGTTGGGGAAGTACTGGCGGAGCAGTGCTTGGCCCGGCCGCCACGAATTATGCGATGGCTGCCCTTAGGTAGACTTTGATCGAGTCTACAAATTTTTATCTTCACCGGTGGAGAGCGGTAGAAGAGCTTCCTCGACACTGCTAATAGCCGTCGAGCAGATATTAAATTGCGCGGCTTTTTGTCTTGCCCTGCGCTCCTCCGCTTCGATCGCTGCTAGCAATTCTGGAGGGTATATTTTTTCTTTGCCTGCTGCTTCTGCTGCTGTAGGCGGTGGGGCCAGCGGTGAGTTTTCGGCTTCTGCTGCCTCGGTTGAGGGTATGTCGGCCCTTTTCGCGGGCCCCACTTCTGTAAGTCGCGGTGGTGCTGGAACTATGGTGCGCTTCTCGGGGTGCGACGACGGTTTTAAGGTGGGATTCGACGGGCCCTGAGACTTGGTCCGCGTCCACTGGGCTGGAGGATGCCCAAATTGAATCAGCGAGAGTTTTCAACTTCTCGATTTCTGCGTCCATCATGTTTACCTCGGGGACATCATTCCTTCGCTTGGAGCGCAGCCGCGATGGCGTTCATGTTTTGATCATTTGATTCGAGCCCTCGTCTCTTTAGCATAAGACTTGCGTGTTTTTTAATGGCAGGAGTCCATTGGTAAGGTTTGTTGACACGATCTTAGGCAGTGCCTCTGATCGCGTTTTTGTGCTATTTACGCGTCGGAGGCATTTTAAAATGTCGCAAATGTCAAACAATAACGATTCGACTCGTTAATAAACGGTTGAGATGGATAAACGGATGGAAATGGGCAACACTAAGGTTATCGAATTGTGCGATTGTTTATTTTCTATTTTTCGTGCGTCGGGGCACCAAGCCTGACTTAGGTCTCTACTACCCACTAAACTAACTAGAGGTATGGACGCCAGTGCTTACTGCCCTAGTGGCTTCGCCCTTGCTACTTCCTAACTAGGTTTTCAGGGCAATTCTCTAATTATATGATTGCGTGTAGCGTAGCACCCGCACTTTTACAACCAGTCCCTAAGGCTCATTATTCCTCTGATGTATTACCGCCAGTCTCGGGGTGCTACTAATAGATCCATTTAAAAATACCGCACAATTCATCCATAATACAAGGCTCAAAATTGAGGCAGAGTTTAAGACCTATTTATATCTTCTCTGAGATTTCTAGGGCAGTTCTTTGTGTAAAACTCAGAAAGAGCAATCCACTTTGCTACACGTAGGACCCCTTCTCAGGTTTCTAGCAAAATTTTCTTTGGGTCCCTTGAAGATGCTGGAGCTCGAGGGGGTCTGTGGGTGGTAAGGTAGCATTCTAGGAAGTGCAACGGGGCTTTAAGCTGTCCGCAGCCACAATTAAGGTTAGCGCCCTCATGATTGAAATGGCGGTAGTATTCTGCAAAGTCACTATGTCCTGAGCGGGCAGCGTATAGTCTAGAGAGAAACGATATGGCTAGTGAGAGTTCCTTAGAGTGACGAGAGTGCGAGTCGATGGCAAGCTCCATATCGGAAACTGGGGCATGTCGGTCCTAGTAGTCTTTCATAGCCGTCGATACTTCTGCTTTGATGCGGTTTTTCGCGGTATCAAAAGAAACGTACCCACGAGGTATAGGCGGGGGTTTTGAAAGCCCCTCCTGGGCAGAGTCGTCGGCCAAATCGTTGCCCAATATGCCAGAGCGGCTTGGGATCCAGTAAGCCTTGATTTTCCAGGGAGGGATGCGTGGGAGCCGGGTGCGGAGAGGGACTGTATTTGTTGAAAAACAACTTGCGACGAGCAAATTGGGCACTGAAATAAAAGGCGAGCTACCTCTAGTTCATCTGTGAGTATCCAAATATTTTCTGAGAAGCGTGCTGTTGGTAGGGAAAGCGCAGCTTTGAGGGCTTCTTTCACGGCGGTCACTACTGGGTCAAAAGGTGACAGCATCGAGTCAAGGGACATACTCTCGCAGCACGCCATCTGGTCAGCTTGAAAGATAACTATTTCATGGCCTGTCCTGGTCGATTCTGCTATCTCAGATCGAGCGCCATCTGTATAGACTGCGAGATCTCTAAAAGGGATGCCTGAAGGGAGATTAATGAGAGGGTGCGTAACTCAGCTTACACTATTATACCGTTTCTCACTTTTGAGCCATGGCGGCTGAATCGGAGGGTCGATCGTTTCAGTGTTCGGAACTTGGAGAACCCAGCCCGCAAGAAGGGAGACTCGTCGATTGTGTGCCCGAATCCTGTTACAAATTTAGATGGACGTCTCGGATATCTCTAAGCGTGACCGTAATCAACAGAAGACGGATATGGTAGTCTCAGTCTGAGTCGTAAGTAAAGGTCATATAGGAATAGTGATGGGCTCTCGAATCAGCTTCCAACACTCAGATACCCACCCGTCTATCTACAACGACTAATATATATACTACATGTTCTTGGTACATGCCTGAGGCAAAACGGACATTTAACGGAATATACTGCTAGTCTGAGAAGGGTCATTATACTTTATTGTAGCTGCACGTATCGCCCTCTTTCACCACAACCACCTCAACTATGGTAACTCAACAATGGTAACTTTTAACAAATCCATATGGCTTTTTGTCGAAGTGGGTGTCTAGGGTCCAGGCGTTGGATGCGCAGTGCCGCGAATTTTGATTTAGAGCCGGTCTCTAAATCAGGAGGGAGGAGACCTGATTCGCCGTGCAGAATAGGGATTGGCGTAGTCCGATATACAGGTAGGATAGCTCTGGCCCCCGTTAGAATAAGTTTGCGGAGGGTGTGTAGGTTGTTTGTTCATTATTTTACGTCGTGCCAGCGCGCTACAAGTTTCCCAAGGTCACATGCCGGTTAACTCAGTCTAGAAAAACTACCCGACGTGCCGACGCTCCTAAGATCCCGGCATTAACTACCTGGGCCCTGGCCCTCCTGCCAGTTGCCCCTAACTAAAAATACACCAAAAGCACCCTTCCTCTGGGTCTTCTGTTAACTACACTGCAGACAGAATTAAAATGTAAATCTACTTGCTGGAGAGGAGAAACAATTTACCACCGGTACAGACGGAACTGCTAGTATGTAATTTAGTCCCGCTAAATAGGTAGTATGGAGCGAGTGTAAAAGCTAGGAGCGAAAATGGGTCTCTTCGACAAACTTTGTCTTGTGCAGAATGAAAGGGTGTGTTGGAGGGCAAGACTGAACACCTGTACGCGGTGTCCTCTACGAACCTGGGAGTGAAATATTCTCCCAGAGCCAAGTTCAGTCAAACTTCGCAATACCGAACAAGTTGGCCCACGAGGCAATGATTCAAATTACTCCACCATATCAATCTTTCACTCCCAACGAAATCGATTCCTACCTAAACCTCATCAAGCTTACAAGTACGACATAGTACATCCTAATCCCAATGACCACACCTCTTGTCGACTCTCTCTGGCCTTAGCTGGTCGCCAGATACACGCCCACGCTGATATTTACACCCGACGGAGGAAGCAAAGCGTGGCGCACAAATCTGGAAGACAATTCCTTGGGATAGATGTGAGAGGGATCAGGACAAGTTAATAAGATGATGCAGAGGATTGGATACAGTCTCGACGGGCGTGGAATTTTGAATCTTGGAAAGGAGTTTTTATAAATTGAGCTTTGTGCGTGCCAAGTCTTTGGCTGCGAGAGTGCAGGCGACACTATAAAAAATGCCATGGTTGGATGGTGCGGTGGTACATCGTCTTGGCCGGTCTGCCAAGTAGAGTCTGGATAGCTTGGACACATATCCCACTCGAGACTGTAGATCGCTGGTTCAAATTCGCCAAAACATAACCACATTTCTCGCGGCGCTGGTATGCATGGATGACGAAGGCATGCTTGGATAATCAAAGGTTTTTAAATTCCCTTTGGTGGGTACTAACGGAGGAGGGTCGACTGTTTGTGTAAGCAAACATACCTCATAGTGGTATTTGCAAATGAAATCCAGAGTATGAGTGTCTCTAACGTCAAAAGAGTCATCCCACATGTATACATAGCGCCGGTCATGTGTCATAGCTAGATAGCTGAATACACATTAAATGATTTTAAAAAAAAAAAAAAAAGAAAGGGTGTGTTGAAGTGTATGCCTTGCGCTGCTTTATGTCACGTGATGATGTACCCTAGTGTATGAATTCTCATCTAGCAGCACATGATAGCTTAGGTTATATAGATATATACACACATCGATTAACGTATAATATATGTACCCTTTCAATTCCTCGATATTTCCCCCCCCCCCTAAAAGTTGGCTTGTATGGCACTCGTATCCTTGTAAGAGCTATCAGATCGAACTTGCTCTATTTTTATCTGATGGCTTGACAGGCCAAACCTAGCTTTACGCTTCGTTTTCTTATGTTTCTAGTGATTGGGTTACAGTTCAATGCTGCATAATTTTTCGCTACCTGTTATTTCTGCAATCGACTCGCCGTTGATATAATATCCATAAGCACCTTGGGGTTTTCCTATCATCTTGTACATAATAGCCACAGCACTGCCTTGATTGTCGATAATAATGTAATAAGTGAAGTTTTTTACTTCAAAAAGCCCACCCGGTTCTCCGCTGTCCGATTTAGGATATGGGCGAAACCTAGTGTTGGAGTGGTTCTTTCCTATATGAAATCGATGATAATAATAATGCGGTGCTAGTTTGTTATCATTCGTAAATAAGAGAGGAGCATTCACGAATGAATTTGATAAGAGATGAATTAATTTATTTTTATCAAAATACAAAGGATCGCGTCCAGATGCAAATTCTTTGCGAATATCTTTGACAGCCGTGGATACACGAGCTGGTGAAAACTTTTTGTTGCTTAAGGTGCAATGGAACCGTTTTCTTCCCTCATCAGTTTGCTGCACGACATTTGGAAGAGGGGCGTTGATTCCTGAGTCGGCTCTCCAAGTATTTTGAAGTCCGCTGGCGGGGTTTATTCTGTGTGGTCCTTGCATGATGATTATTCTTTCGTGTTAACACTCCTAAGGAATTAGACGTATGTTGAATGGATTAACTCTTAGAGATGCTCATCACACTGAAGAGACCTTAAAAACCATGGACTGACTCGTACCACTAGCTTGTAACCATAAGCCGATATTAATACGTCCCAGAAAGTATGGGTAAGATGTTTCCGAATCATCCCACAAATTTCCTTTACCCCTGTCTTAATCTTGAGCCACATTCTGCAACATCTTAGCAGCATCACCAATAAAACGGAAATGGAAATTTTCAACGCTCTCTGAGCGAGTCTCCCAGGAAGACAAAGACTCATCAACTGATGGCGGTATTATCAGTGGTTTGGAGAATGAGTTTTTCATCCATTCGCGAGCTTCAGTGAAATTCTTCAATAGCGACATTTCTCAACATGAGGTAGTTACTAGAGACTTCTTACAGCGCTCATCCTTGGATCCCAACGAGGCTAACTTCAACCAAAGCCTCTTCGGATCTACAAGGATAATCCACCACGTGCCAACTCCTAGACTCTATCTGGCCTCAGATGCACGCCAACGACGATAGAAGCACGCGCAGGATCAAAAGATGTGGCGCGCAAATTTTGAAGGGGCATACCTTTTAGGTGGATACTGAAGGGATGAAGCCTGAAAGGCAAGATGATACTAAATATGAATACAAAGTCGAGAAGGAACAGATAATAAGCCGTGAAAACTAATTTTTCAAATTGAGGAAGGTTGAGGGCGCTAATATGAAAATTTTCATGGTAGCATGCTGCAGTGGCACATTATCAAACATGACGAAATTTAGGTGATAAATGTTGTTTTCGGGTCACAGCCCCCGGAATATGTGGGACTGAAGAATGAACATGGCTCACAGATTGAGTCTACTCTGAATCTATGGATAGAGGGGTACATGGCAATTGTGGGGCGCACTACGACAGTGGAAGAGTTCCTAAGTTACGTGTACCCTTCGACTGATCTTTCTCGCAAAATACGACTGAGTAGGTGTGAGACCTCATTTTTATGGCACACTCACTGGCATTGTATGTCAACGTATCCCCTCATGGACGAGCCGCTGCTGTAGCTGAAGCTGGGTATACCATCAGATACAATATCATAGCGTTTGGGCTGGTCAGGTACCCTTGTCAGCCTCGCTAATAACTGAGATTTCTGTAGCCTCAGGCAACACATTCCTCAAACAACCCAAGACAAACTCATAGTCCGCTGGACAAGTAGAAAGACAGGCATCCGGGGGAATCGCAAAGCAGACTTAACTGACGACGATTGATCAGTAAGAGAAACGAACCCTCCCCTCTCACACCGGAATCTTGGAGAGCAAAACTGAGCACCTGTAGGCGGTGTCCTCTGCCAACCTGGAAGTGAAATATTCTCCCAGAGCCAATTTCAGTCAAATTTCGCAATACCGAACAAGTTGGCCCACGAGGCAATGATTCAAATTAGTCCACGTCAAATTTTTATTCCAAATGATCATGACTCCTATCTAAGTTTCATCAAGTCTACAAGTACGACCCAATACATCCTCATTCCAATGAACACACCTCTTGTCAACTTTCTCTGGCCTCAGCTGGTCGCCAAATACACGCCCACGCCGATAATTATTCCCGACGGAGGAATCAAAGCGTGGCGCACAAATTTGGGATACAGCTCTTTGGGATGGATTTGAGAGGGATCATGAAAGTTGATAAGAACATGCGAAGGAAGGATATAACCTCGAAGGGCGTGAAACTCTTAATTTTGGCAAGGAGTTTTACGAATTGAGCCTTGTGCGCGCCAAGACTTCGCTTGCGAGAGTGCAGCTGAAACTTTAAAAAAAAGCAAACGATGGAAGGTGCCGTGGTCCGCCTCCTGGTGGTGTTCTCTGGTATAGTCTGAGTAGCCTGGGCACCTACTTCACTTGGGAAAGAGATACCTCAGATCACACATCGCGCGGAGAAAAGTTGATGGATGACGCAGGCATGTCTGGATAATCCAGGGTTTTTGAGACTTTCCCCTGGGTGGGTATTCACGGATGAGGGTTGACTTGGGGTGGAGAAAAAGCCGCCATAACTTCGCAGTGGTACTTGCAAATGAAATCCGAGGCATGAGTGCTCTTACTTCATACTGAGTCATGTGATATGCACTCTTCTTTGATATTGTGTCATAGCTAGATAGCTGCATACGCAATCAAATATGATGCAAAAAAAAAACCGGGATCTTGAGGCTCACAATTACGCTGCTCACTCAGCATACGGTCACTTCTTCACGCACCACGGACGCTCTAAAGACAAAATCGCGCACAGTCACTGTGATTGCGGTAAACCTAGTTGTCCGGACACGTTTTGAAATGCAATCTTCCAATCCAAAGATTCCCAAGAATTCGGAGGATCTGCCGGAGCAAGTTCCCACATCCTTCGCCACCTTTAAAGGAGCTGCCCAAACTTCCAAATTGTTGAAAAAAATGGGCGAAATGTTACCAGAACGAAGGAAGGTGGCTAGTTCAGTGTCATATTCAGTTTACTGCTTAGAGAATGGAATCGTGCGCTATAATTACAAGTAGAAGCTATACACAATCTTGGCCTAATCATGATCGATTGCCGTGTGGATCCTGAAAAGATCTACATTGTCACGGGTCGGTCAGATTATGGATTTTTTTTTTTTTTTGCATCAGATTTTAATTGCGTATGCAGCTATCTAGCTATGACACAATATCAAAGAAAAGTACAGAATAGATAATTCATCGTTAAGGAAGAGCACTCATGCCTCAGATTTCATTTGCAAGTACCACTGCGAAGTTATGGCGGCTTTTTCTCCACCCCAAGTCAACCCTCATCCGTGAATACCCACCCAGGGGAAAGTCTCAAAAACCCTGGATTATCCAGACATGCCTCCGTCATCCATCAACTTTTCTCCGCGCGATGTGTGATCTGAGGTATCTCTTTCCCAAGTGAAGTAGGTGCCCAGGCTACTCAGACTATACCAGAGAACACCACCAGGAGGCGGACCACGGCACCTTCCATCGTTTGCTTGTTTTTAAAGTTTCAGCTGCACTCTCGCAAGCGAAGCCTTGGCGCGCACAAAACTCAATTCGTAAAACTCCTTGCCAAAATTCAAAATCTCACGCCCGTCGAGATTGTATCCATATTCCGTTTCATCTTGTAAACTCGTCCTTATCCCTCTCACGTCAATCCCAAAGAGCTATCTCCCAGATTTGTGCTCCACGCTTTGCTTCCTCCGTCGGGTATAAATATCGGCGTGGGCGTGTATTTGGTGACCAGCTGAGGCCAGACAAGGTCGAAGAGTGGTGTGGTCATTGGGATGAGGATGTCCTAGGCCGTACTTGTAGACTCGATGAGACGAAGATCGGAGTCAAACTCGTTGGGAGCGAAATAACGACGTGGATGAGTAATTTGGGTTTTTCCTCGTGAGCCAACTTCTTTGATATTGCGAAAAATGACTGAACTTGGCTCTGGGAGAATATTTCACTCCCAGGTTCGTAGAGGACACCGCGTACAGGTGTTCAGTCTTGCCCTCCAGATTATGGATTTACGGCACATAGACAAAATGCTAGTGTCTTATGGTCTCACAATAGCAGATCTCACTGGAGCTGAGGGGTAACAGAGTATTGATGCATATAGGCGCATAGATATCCTAAATTTAGGGGGATGTAGAGTTCACGCAATCTAGTCTAAAGCTCTACCACATCAAGCTGTAGTCATGAGCCACGAGACACCACGTGACAACATTTCATTCTTACACACACATCCACCATTTACTAAGTACACAACGCGCGCTCAGAAACCTCAGCCGCGCCATCTAGACATCGAGAAACCTGAGGTTTCTTACGTGTACTAGATAATTATCGGAAACAGTGTGTATGGTTATCACATAGGGTCGGGTAGTGCAATGGTTACGCGATGTCTCGTGGCTCATGACTACAGCTTGATGTGGTAGAGCTTGAGACTAGATTGCGTGTCCCTTCAACGAGATCTATGCTATGAATAAGTACGCTCCTAAACTCTTCGCCACCTTTTACACACCGTGCGCCATCTCTGAATACTATCTGCCTCTCTACTACGGTAGGACGAAGGCTGAACACCTGTCAGTGGTGCCCTCTACGAAACAGGGGATGAAATAATCTCCCAGAGCCGAGATTTAGTCACGAGGAAGGGAGAATTTGAGAGTTTTCGTCGAGTTGGCGATCTGGAGAAGTGGTGTTGGCTCATTTTTGGTCGAAAATCCGACTTACAGAGACTTCACTACTGCATAACTCAACGAAATCAACCATCTGCACCCCAGATACGAACCGCATATAGGCTTTAACCTGTCTGATGTTCGTATTATAACAACCGATAACTTCGATATATTTTTTTTCTCTGGAAGATCAGCCCCAGCCAAACTCATCTAGCGGCCCTCTCCACAGTCATCTCATTACCTATCGAAGCAATCTCATACCTCCAAAAGCCAAATCGCCATCAAAGAAGCAAGAGGACTTCCGACTCTCCCCAACTGCCAGCGGCTGTGAAGGTACGGTCGAAATACTGGCCTTAAATGCGTACTCATCTCGGCCAAGGGCACCAACAACTCGACCTGCGACGAATCGCCACCGACGAAATACGTACGACATTTCGCCTGCACACCAATCAGAGCGTTAGACAAATGCTAGGGCATTGGTGCCTCGATCATGAGCTCTCAGTCACATTTTCAACCTCCACGGTTAGGGGTACGGCAGCAACGGGGCAAGACCGGAGGGGTGGACATTCTACAAAGTTTCTGGGATGACGAGGTCGACTGAAGGACAGAGGGATGCTACATGAAGGAAAAAAAAATGGAATACAAACTGAGGAGGCCTTGGTGGGCGACTGGATGAGGCCTCCAACGAAGAAAGCGACCTCTGGATGAGATGAGAATATGCTGAGATGAGCCAAAGCTGGGACTGAATGGAAGGGAAACATCACAGATTGCGAAGGTGTCAAGGGCTCGGGCGCGTGGTGGCCGAGGCTGAG